ATGAAACTGCAGATATTTAAAATAGCTATATTTAAGTGCAGAAGGTTAAACCTGACAAACTTTTGAATGGTATCTTGACTGTTAATATTAGGGTTTGTGTATTTAGCCTTATTTCTCAGTTTGTGCATGTCGTGACAAAAACCCCATGTTTTTGGAGGAAAGATCCAGATCAATGTAATATTGCGTTATTAATACCTGTAAGAAACAAGCCACAGTAGCAAACCTGCTGAAGAATATTTCCTAATGTTTGCATCGCCTGCTCTGTCTAAAACAAAATTTTGTCTTCCATTAGGGATTCTCATATTCTCACCTGTGCTGTTTCATCTTACAGCATTGTGTTCATCTGGGGGTTTTGGCTATAGGTGAGCAAAAACCATGGTGAGGTTGATAGCATAAAAGCATTCCTGACATCCTTGTTGGAGATGAAAAATAACTTACCTACCAAGATGAAAATTCTCAAAGACCTTATTGATTTAGTGAACTAGCAGCAGAGCAGCATGAATGAGAAGATAATTTTGGGGGAGTACAGAGCAATCAGCTGATGTAAGGAGGAAAAAAGAAGGGGAGGTAAGCATGCTTAAAGAGCAAATACTATGTATAATAATCAAAACAGGAAGATTGCTTTCAGAAAAGCTAATCTTCTAAAAAAGGAACGTGCTAATCAGATAATCTTGAAGTTGTATCCAAAGTTTGACTTCTAGAGAATGCTTCTCATGTCCACGATGAGAGAACTCTGCAGACACGAAGTCTGTCAGGATTGTATTGGTGTGTTTTTTAGTGCACTATTCAAAAGCTGATTTGATTTATCATGAAAATACAAAGTTTCTTAGTTGTGAGTTAGGCAAGTAATAGGAGGCAGAAAATTTAGATGATAAAACTGGAGCAGATTCTATTGTGGTGGTTTTCCATCTGTAAAAATTCTTTTGAATTAATGAAAATTTTGGGTGAATGAGGTGTCTCCGGGCGAGAAAATGCAGGAGCAGGCTTACAGCATTGAGGAAATAGGAACACCTAGATGACACAAACTATTCAACAATAAGCTTGCCAATAAAAATATTTTTTCTTTTTTTATTTCAGGGGATTTGGAATAATACTGGATTTTCTCAAGTAAAAGAATATAAGGATATAGTAACTTTTTTCTCAGGAATCTTAATGCATGCTTATACTACAAGTTGTCTATTTGCATAAGGGAATGATCATCTTGGGAGCTGACTGTATGAGTTAACGTAAATATCTCTGCAGTATGGATGCTCCATTGAAAAGTGAGACTCCCTCTAAGTTCTCCATATTCATTGCAAAGGTTATTGTTGTGCCAATAAACTCACTTATGTGTGATTAAGTGTTTAATAACGCACTGGATTCGGGTTGAAGGCCTTACACTCTGGATTCTGGCCATTCTTTGGTTCTCAGTCTCAGGGCATGTGCTACACTGCACACTTGAATCAGTACTGATGGTTGTATATGAACTGCTGCACGTCATTTTGTCTTATTGTGTGCTTCTAGTTATGTGTGTGTTCATCTTCCTGACAGAATACTGACTGGGGACCACCTAGTACAGAACAGCCACAGAGGGCAGAGTATTTAACCCCTGTGCTATTCAAATGCTGAAAACATAATGCCTATTTTAGACCTAGCTCTTGCAAATTGTAGGGTTTGGGGAATGCTAATTTTGTATGCTGGTAACTGATAATCAGCACTTAATATGATTATCACAGTTCATATGATTATCAGAAGCCCAAGATCTGAAAATGAGATATATAATTAATGTTGTTTTAAAGGTTTAATGTCTCTGCTTAAGGTAACATTGTGTATACATAAGATTTCAAAATTGAATATAATATTTTCATTCTGTTTTATCTACTTAGTATCTCTCAGAGGACATACTTTTTTTTGTATTTGGGAACAAATTGGGTTTACTATCAAATAATTTAAAATTCTTTGTCTTTCCATCACATACATGTATACACAAGTATTAAATACAGGAGAGTTCACAATCATAGCTGTTAATTTAATAGGGTGTTGGAGACTGGTATTTTGTCAAAGTTGGGTCACGTTCAGTTTGCTGTAGCAACATGTGTGTGGAACCCCTGATTCACTAAGTAGCCGTGGGAATTCAGTCATCTTCCTTCCCTTTTCCTGCACATCTTACATTAGTACCACCTTCTTTCTGAGTGGTTCTTTTTCCAGTCTCATGATTTCATAGCAGCTACCCAGTTGCCCATGAGCATCTTGCTCATACTGCATTTTCATGACTTTTGGGGATTTTTAACTGAACCCAAGTGTCTTGGAGCTGATGGCAGGGTTATTGTCCCTGAAAGCAGTGCGTCTAGATATAAGGAAGAATGGTGAATGTGTGAAGAAAGCATGACAGACCCTCTTGTTTTATGTTTACATGTGTTTCCAGCTAATACCACATTTTTTTTAAGTCATTAACCAGGTGAACTGTTTTTGTGGAATATAGTTCCCTCACTACTCTTCAAAAATCACAGTAAGAATTTCACTTTGCATTACTATTTTTATTTGCAGTTGGGTATGTTTACAATCTGACCTAACCACAGAGACAGTGGCATTAAAAAAGACTTGAAGTTGGGTTTGCACTAGTTCAGCTAAGCCAGTGCAGGTTTGGGCACAGATAAGCCTCAAGTTTAAGTATTTTCTTTGCTAATGTAAGAACTGGACATAAACCGCCAGCATGAGACAAAAGTTTTGAGGCATCTTAGAAGTCAAACCAAGGAGTACCAGGGAGTCTTATACATGAACATCCTTGGCCAAGGCACAGTTTTCCAGTTCATAAGACCATCAAGTGAATCATTCTTTCCAAATAATGAGGAAAATAAATCAGCTAGCATTTTTATTTAACTGAAGTAAAGCAATATAGCAAAACCAGAAATGCATAACTGTTAAGGTTATACGATGTGACAAAAAGTAAAAGGATTCTTGGATCTAACACTTACTGAGAGAGTTGCTGGAGACTAGATGATAATCCCTTGGGGATAATTTGTATGTAAACAAACATACATAGGTAAATGAAAACATTATAATTCTTAAAAGAATCAAAACATAACAGCCACAATTTAAAGCATTTGTTTCTGTCCTATTTAATGCTAATGAATACCAGTTACTATGCTACTTATATATATATATATTGCTGTTTTAATACTTACCACTTGTTTACTGGGGTGTTTTTGATTGAGCAATTCAAAATTTTCAGAGATTTTGAGATACACAATAATACATGGTAATACATAGTTTCAATATACAGTCGTAATGTCCTCTGTTTAGCAGAGGGATAGCTTTGCAAAACTAAAAAGCAAGAGTCTTCTATGAGCTACTTTCATAATATGATACTGCCATAAATAGTTATGGCAAAATAGTTATGATAAAGACATTGCACAATCATCTGATACAAAGGATATTCAATCATATACAACTTTCACTTATCTTTGAAATGAAGAAAAAAAACCTTAAGATGGAAGAGAAATTAAGAGTTCAATAGGTTTCCTTTGCCAAAACTCAAAGTAAATTAGTCAGGATTAAAAATCCATAGTGTATAACCTCTGTGTTGTTTTTCCAGTTGCTCAGTGATGACGTAGAGCTCTGTTCTTGGGGTATGCAATCTTGGCAAGAGCTGCTTCTAAAACCAAAAATTTCCAATTCGTTCCTTACACGGAGTGCTATACATTCTTTTCTATTCTCTCTAATCCACAGCAGAGGCACATTTCTGGTGTATTCCTTTTTTTTTTTTTTATTTTATTAAGCTAAAATTAGCTTCTATCTAAATCTAATGCCAAAATATTTTTATTTTTTGGCTTAATTCTGTAATTCTAACCTTAACTATTTTAGGATAACTAGCATTTCCAGTGTAACTGATACAGGAAAGGGTGAATGATGCCTAAACATCAATGATGGATCATTAACAATGTTTAAATCATCTTCTAAATAAGTCATGCTAAGTAGAAAACATTTCTGCTGGTACAGTGTCATGCCATCAGTATATGTGGCTAAGAGCTTGCGGTGAAGAGCTAAGTGTGTTTTTTAGGGTCCCCTGAAGATTTTAAGAAGGACTGCATTCATTTTTCCTCTCCTACCCTCTACACACTAGATTACGTGCAGCTGCTAGCTGACGTTGAAGGCTGTGTTGTAGACACAAAGCGTGCACCATGCTGCGGGAGCAAACAGAAGGAGCCCTTTCAGCCCATGCGAGTTCTTGCTGTGCAGGGAGCTGAGGAGAGT